CTAACTCATTATATATCTCACTAAGTGGTCATAAGCTATAGAAAGTAGGTTCGCATTGCAGCCAGTTACCTTTCTCATCTTTGTGCTTAGTGAATTGTCGTAAGGCATGGTGTCTTGCTCTGACGAAAGTCTAGCACGGATTCATTGTGGTCGCGGGACGATGAGCCGAGGTCTTATTCGCACAAATCTACCATCACAGCCCCAACTTACAAATCCCCTCCACTCGCATCTTCCAACGGTACTCTAATATTCGATTTTACTTATTTACTCTAGCTTGACTTTTTCCCGTATTTAATTAATTCTCAGTCTTCAAATGCACAAAGATACACAAAAGCCATTACTTAATCCTGAAGTGAGTACTTTTTATCGTTTTTTACAAAACACGAAATTCAGGCTTTTTATGAACTCAAATTTATCCTTATGTTTGATGTATTGCCAAGGCGGAATTAGTAGTGAATCATAGTATCATTATCCCAATACCAGTTGAGTCTATAGGAACTTTTTCAGAGCCAAATTTTGTTAGACTCTTTGTAAGCATTTTTTGTATGCAACGTATTTTTTAACTTTACTGTCAACTAAAATATCAAGCCTTGGAGTAGTAAAATTGTTTAGCCAGTCCATCCACCCTATGTATGTTTTTTGGACTGTTCTACTTATTTTTGAGATCTCTACATCACACTTGTAGATTTTTCAATTTAGGATCTATAATCTTTGCAAGAATTTGAATTTCTCTTTAGTATATTCTGTTTGTTGCCTCGACTGCATACATTTTTTATGAATGGCCCTGCATTCCGGGTATTTTTAATGAACCCAGTTGAATGGTTACTTTAGTTTACAGTTCAATTTTATTTTCTATAAATATATGCTTTCAGGTCTGCTTAGAACCCACTTGCGAATCCACTTGCAATGCAAAGGAATCTTCCACTTTTTTAGAACACTTGAATTCTTCTTCCGCCAAAACATTTTCATCTTTCGACGGGCCTCTCCAAGCCCGTATTTCTTCTACCCTGCCAGCTACTTTCTCTACTACACGGATTCGACCCGCCATTCTACGAAAGAACCAGGCAGACATGGGTGCATGGCCGATGAGGCCCGAGCATAGAGATTCAGCAGAACAGACTTTGAGTGAGCCAAGCTCTTCAGCATCTACATCACTTTCTCCTGCTATTCCACCTTCTGATTCATTACAACCCTCTCAATCAAACCTTCTAGCCCCTACAGTCGATTCAACTCTAGCTTCTCCATCACACGATCAGGGTTCAGGTCTCTGCTCCTCTTGTCTTGTTCTTGTCAACTCCGGTCGCCTAATTGGGCTATCCCCTCCGTCACGTTTGGTTGCCGGCTTTTGTCGGTGTCCTCACAGGCCAGAATGTCCCGATTGCTTGGCCGCCGCAATTCCAGAATCGGAATCATTTCCTCCTACAAATGGTAAAAATATTGTTGCTTTGGATCTATTTGATCGGGATCACGGTAAACGAACGCCTCGTGCCAATCCACATCCACAAGTAATGCCCTCTTATGGCTTGTCCGACTGTGTCACGCCTGTAAGAGATTCTTCTATTGCTAAGAGTTCGCATATTCCTTACTGCTCACAACGTATAACCGAGATGACTGATAACATAAATTGGCTACAAATATCTAGCTCTGCACGGTCTTCTGCTGACGTAATCCAGAAATCAAGCCCAGACCTGACTGCTCAGCAGTTGGATGGTCGACGAGATCAATTACTTGAATTTGAACGAACATCAAGGTTAAATAAGGAAACCGATGATGGAGATAGAGGAGTATATCGACAAGAGTCGGAAAAGGAAGAGACGAGTAATCCAGCTAATTTGGATAAGGAAATTCAGAATTCCGCACGCCTGCTTTATTTTGGCCAAAGGCCTGGACAACGGTCATGGAGTTCTACAACTGCTCCTTATCTCACTTCATCCGCCTCACTTTCTTCATGCTCTTATTCTTCCAGTTCTTCCTCGTCGTCATCTATCTTAGCTAACCTTCCTGCTTCCGATTCTTCAATACATTTGTCTGCAGCTTGTTCTACTGGAGACACAAAGACTCCCCATACCACAGACGGCTACTTGGAAGCCACCGAGTTGAAACAAGATTTAATTAATCCAGTTGCGTTTTCTCGTGATGCCTATCTTAAGGTTAGTTTATCTCTATCTGTATTTGCCTGTATTTGCCTATATTTTAATTTGCTTGGGGGGTATTCTCTACATACTTACTATCGATATAAAGCCTTATATGAAACTTTATCAGCCTAACAAAAGGAAGCCATAAATTTGACTGAGGTATAGCACTTATATCATAACAAAGGAATTTACAATAAAGTTGATCATTCAATTAATTAAAATCCTAAATTATTATTTCCAAAGCCATAAATACTTCTATGGACTTATTCCCAGATGGGTTTGTGTGGCTTTTGGCAGGCTCATTAATTCTGCTGTGCTCACATTTATGTTTTTGTTTGTTCATATTTACTCATCCTAATGTCCATTTTTTTATTTTGTTAAAATTAATTAACTTTTACTAAATGTAAACTCCATAAGTTTGGCATGATGTTTAATTTCTTTAAACAGCTACTTATGCTTAAATTGCCTACTTTTCTCCGTCAACTGAATTTTTTTAATTTGTCGGTCTATCTGCTTTAGATATTTATATATATTCTAATTCTCCTGAACTCTATTGTGATTTGATCAATTCAAAAAGCCAATATTTATAAATTATTCACACCTTTTGGTAATCTATGCTCTCAAGTATTTTATGTCTCCTTCCTAAACACCGATATTAGAAATATATCACAGTAGCGCTTATTTTCTAATATCCAGTCTATATTTGTCGTGGCTATCACCATAGGACATAGATAGTATCATGCGCCTTATACCCCTTTTTTAGATTGCGCTTAATACCTCAGCTATACTTTTGAGATACTAAACCTAAAGGACTCAAGACCAGATAATTTGGTGTCAAATTTGGATATTTTGGGTAAGGAAGAAACGGATAATCACACATCCAATTATTTTTTGGCAAAATTAATATTTAGGCTTGGAATTTTCATTGGATCATATTTTCTGCTTTTAGTACCTATGCATTTATTCATTTATGTATTCATATGTGGCGATAATAGAAAACCGATGACGTAATGATTAAAATGGCATTGTTTCTTTTTTTTATTACCTCAGAATACTCTTAGTTTTCAACTATTCTCACCAATGATATGTATACTTTTTATCATAAAATACTTGTATGTGAAGAGCAACTGTGTTTCCATGACTAGTCTGAGCCTTTACAACCTAAATTACTCGTCTAATATGAATTTCCAGGTCACTCAAGACGGTTATTTGAATCGCTCTCCAAAGTCGTCCGAGTATTCGGTGCAGATGCGAGTTCTTCCCGGCCTATCTATCGCATCTCCCATTGGATCATCTGTTGATTCACACTCTTGTTCTGCCTGGCCTATGCCAGCATTGTCCGAGCCCGAAGTTGCACAGCTCATGTCGGCAGCCTCTTTCACATGTGCGTCCATCAGAGAGGTATCGCCAGATGCAGCAACCCCAAGCTTATCGTCGCATCCTACTTACCATCATGACCCAGACTCCTTACTCCATCATCAGACTCCCTTACAGCCACGACAAAATCCGCAACAGCACGATCACCATCGTAGTCACCACCACCACTCCCACACTTATAATCACATTCAACGTTTGCATGTTCCTTTGCATCGGCATGGCCCACCATGCGTCAGTTCTGCCTCCCTAACTCCTGGTCCTTGGACCTCAAGCTGCGTCGATGCAGATTCTTTTTTTTCAAGCCCACCATCCTCTTGTTCCTCTCCACCTGCCCCTTCTCCCTCACTTTCTTGTCCTGCACGCACTCTTCAAGTCACCCGCACTCTCAGCCCCTCCTTTCGATCTTCTGCCAACGAAAATGACCTGCCAATACCGTCATCTGCCGCGATGGCTGTTGAAATGGCTCTCAGTCGAC